CATCTATATGTCAGACTGCCTTTCGTCCATATAGTGAGTTGGACTGTGAATCACCGTGTGAATAAACTTAATTAGTATTATTTTACTGGAAATGTATTAAATTGATTACCAGCTATTTATTACTGCATATTGGGAAATAGCAGAATATGATTATTAAATAATGTTGGAGTCATTTTTTATAAATTCTGAGTTAAATATTGGCGTAATTTGGCAGTAATTTCAAAGAAATTTGAATTATGTTACTTGCTAATTATCACCTACTTAACAAGAAATGTGCAGACCTGTAAATTAAAGTGTTTCCCAAAAGTTTGAATTTAGTCATTTGAATAGAATGTGGATATGGATTGTTTGTTTGGACATAGATTTTATTTCTACCACTAACCAGTGCCAATAATTACAAACAATATCCACAATACATTTGCGTTCATGATTTACATCATTCATTGAATTATTTTTGGGATTTGTGGTTAAATAATCCTGTGTATGCATATGCATATTCTTTCATGCGTTCTTGTGTCCTCGTGTGTTTATTTCCTCCCAGGATCTTGTGTGTTGCGGGATGCGTCTGGCCTGTTAAACGACACCCTGTCACCGTCCTCATCCCGTCAGGATTGTGTTGGTTTAGCTTGTCAATATGGATGGGACTTCACTGAGTGTATCAATAACACATGCACCTATGGCATCAGTAATTACTATCAGGTCAGCACAAACCCACTCACAGGACACACAGATGAGTTAAATGTGGCTTTATTCTGCACCGTGTTAGATATGGTCTATAACTACTCACAAGGTTTACAGTCTACATCACAAGTCTGCAAAGCACAAGACATCTTTACATGTTTTCTGGTTGATGAATTCCTTTAGAATTTCAAACAAGCAAACTTTACATTTACCTTGTGAAGCTACTTGGGGTCGCCAAAAAATGAAGCTTTCCTGTCAGTTCTCAGACATTTATTTGACTTTTCTTTCCATGAAAGATATATGATGATTACACTGACAGCAACAAGCCAACAATAATGTCATTCTGCATATATCTGTAATAATCAGTAACTGTAGATCACCTTTCTCCTCTGGTGAGAGAGATGAGACCAATAAGTAAACAGTACATTTGTGTTTCTAGTCGATGAGCCTGGTGTCAGCTTTCGCCCCTCTCATCACTGCTGGTATATTTGGAGCGACACTCTCTTCTGCTTTGGCCTGCCTGGTGTCTGCTCCCAAGGTCTTCCAGGTACACTCACACAAACACACACACACACACACACACTCTCTCCTTTGAGGGTGACTGGGGCTCAGTGGTCGACCCCAGGCTCCACCAGTCAATGTCGATGTGTCCCTATAGGCAAGACACTTAATCCCAAATTGCTCCCGAATGCTGTGCCGGTGTATGTTATGAATGGTTAGATTGTCCTGATGGGCAGGTGGCAACTTGCATGGTAGCTATGGGTGAATGACATGTAGTGTTAAAGCGCTTTGAGCGGTTAGAAGACTAGAAAAGTGCTATACAAGTACACACACACACACACACACACACACACACACACACACAAATACACTAGATGAAATAAATGGTAAATGGACTGTGCTTGTATAACACTTTTCTAGTCTAGTCAACCGACCACTCAAAGCTCTTTAACACTACATGTCATCATTCACCCCTTCATACACTGATGGCAGAGGCTAACATGCAAGGTGCCACCTGCCTATCAGAAGTCACTAACATTCATACACTGTAGGAACAGCCTATGGGGGCAATTTGGGGTTGCGTGTCTGGCCCAAGTACACATCGACATGGACTAGCGGATCAAACCCCCGATCCTTTGATTGAAGGACGACCCTGCTCTACCACTGATCCACAGTCGCCAAAATACCTTTTGTGAATGTTATTTATTTTCAAATGTCAGTGCAACCATTTCCATATTCCTGCGCATGTTTAAATACAAGCTTTTATTAATTATTTTCTGAGAAACATGATTTTTCTTGTAGTGTCTGTGTAAGGACAAACTCTACCCTCTCATCGGCATCTTTGGGAAAGGTTACGGCAAGAATGATGAACCGCTCAGAGGCTACCTGCTAACGTACATCATCGCTGCCTGCTTCATTCTCATTGGTGAGGCTTTGATGAGAACCTCTGAACCCACGAGAAATTGTAGCAATTATAGTCTTATTGGAAATGGGAATATCCTGAAATGTCTTAATGAGAATGTGAACTGGAAAATAAGTAAACCAAAACTTTAAATGGGAAGACTTGCTCCAAGACAGCAATAACAACTGTATATTGTATGCTGATGAGATGGAAGCTCTTTATCCAACAGCTTACTGTTGCTGCTTGTTCTACCTTGCAAAAATAAAAAAATGATCGGCTTAAAAAAATGCCCCATATCGCCAAGTCTTTTGGCAAAACATTGGTGACATATACATTGCATTTCTTTTGACTGCTTCACAATATAAGTCACACTAGGTTTCACCAGTCGGGCCCATTTATTATGAAGCAGCAGTAGTACAAATATTGGGTTTGCATTAACATTAACAACAACTTAATACAACTCTGATACAGTGTCAGGAGAAGGAACAGTAAAAACTGAGGCTCATATCAATCAGATAACTTTACAGCCATCCCGGATGACATGCTGCATTGTTTCCTGTCGGCAATTTAAACTCAGTGTGGGAATGGAGGACACACAATGAAAGCTCCTGTATAGAGATGTAATTACAGCATGTAGATACATTAAACAGCTATTGCATAAAAAAAGTGTCAAAATTGTGTTTCACTTTCTGAAAATCTTTTGGGTAATAACTGCGATTTTCCTAAATTCTGTCGTTCCTCTCCATCAGCCGAGTTGAACACCATCGCTCCCATCATCTCCAACTTCTTCCTCTGCTCATACTCTCTTATCAACTTCAGCTGCTTCCATGCCTCAATCACCAACTCACCAGGTAAAAAGCTCCATTTATAATTCTGCAGTACATTGTGAGTGGGCTGGTGCAGGCACCTCTAGCACACGCCAGGCATATACAGTACTGCGGTGGATTGCGTATAGCATGTCATTTATTTTTGACCCACGCTTTGCGGTCTTCAAATCCTTTGTCATGTGGTCATTGATATATTTGATAGGTGTGATTCAATAGTTCCATATAAGTTTGTCCCAACACAACTCCGTGGCTGAAAAAGGATTATGGAGAAGTTGGATGATGAGGAGGAGCTCCTGTGCATAGAATAATAAAGGTGAACGTTGTAACAGGACGTGAGGGGAAAACCCATCTCCCTGCTCTGATGTTCAATCAAACTTCTGCTTTATCCGCGTAGACGGGCATGTAGTCAAAGGCCCAATCCCACTGTCACAGCATTACCAGGGGACGCCCAAAGGCGTAAATGTGTTCAGTCTATTACATTCATACAGAAACAATAACAATTCAGATTCAAGATGGTACTTACGTTTATCATCAACCGTTTCTTTTAATTTTGCTTAATGAAACTGTTTTGACAAAAACAAGTAAATAGATGTGGCAATGACCTCTCCTCTAGTAATGCAAGAGCCTGGAGGATGTTCAAATCAGGGCGTAAAAGTGTGAAATTGTGCAACCCCTGCAGCCTCTCACACTCACCCATTTGCCAGGTGACATCAGAGGGTTCAGGGCTGAAGGCTGTGCACAGGACTTTGGGTTGTGGTCACATTTTCAGGAGGCCTTTGCAGTTCTCTGAGAGCTCTGCAAACTATCTCTGCGGCTCTGCTGGTGCTCCGAGCAAGCTTTTCTGCAGAAGTATAAATTAGGCATTCCTGCTTGATCAGGAGAGTGTGTCGACATTGTTGTTTGTACGCATGTGTATGTGTGTGTATCTACAGGTTGGCGTCCATCCTTCAGGTTCTACAGTAAGTGGCTGTCGTTGCTGGGCGCTGTGGTTTGTGTAGTTATCATGTTCTTGCTGACTTGGTGGGCAGCCCTCATTGCCTTTGGCGTCGTCTTCCTCCTTTTGGGATACACACTCTACAAGAAGCCTGGTAAACTCAAACACAAAGCCTATAGTTATACAAACTACAAAAGTGTGCTGTCAGAAACTCCATTCTCCAACTCTGCTGCTCTTCTCTGTGCTTAGCTGTAAACTGGGGCTCCTCAGTTCAGGCAAGCTCCTACAACATTGCTCTGAGCCAGTGTGTCGGTCTCAACCATGTGGAGGACCATGTCAAGAACTACAGGTCAGTGACAGAACCACCCTCCTGTAGAGTGTCTTCTGTAGTCTACGTTTAGAACAGAAATGTTGGTTTTGTTGCGTTGTTGTATTTTGAATTCGGGTGGGGGTGAAATGTGATTGTAATACTTAAGCTGAGCTTCATAGCTCAATATCTGGTGATGAAGAAAATAGCTTCAGTCAAACGTGCTGCTTGCTGTCGTAGGCCTTCCAAGTAGTGTCTTTCAAATGAAACTATCAATTCCATTACCTTCATAAAACCATTTTGAGGATAGTTCCCTGTAATAGGTGCGAATTCTGATCTTATTCCAAGGAATTTAAATGTTTCTTGGAAAAACACGTAATAGCTTGTTTGCAATCATGTGAATATTATGACGCGCAAAAACCAGATGGAGGGCAGGAAGTGAAGAACCTATATACTGCACGAATTGGAAGTGGAGGAAAGTGAATACTTAAAAGGGTTGAACCTGCACACAGCAGCTATCGTCACAAAATAAAAACACATATTGGATGTGATGCCTACAAAACGAAGAAGAGCGATTTTTCCCACAACTTGACCGATTTGGCCAATGTGGAGGTGATCGACATTACAAATGACCTCATCCTCAAGAACTAAAAACAATGACAAAAACACAGAGAAAGCTAGTTAGCTATCTACGGAGAGATTTGTTTTTAGCGATGCTAGCTACCCGGGCAAAAACAAGACAGCAGTCGTTCAAAAATGCTCACAAAATAGTTGTAAGCCTTCATCTGTCGACCACCATGGTCTGTGTTTTTCGTCAGTTTTATCTCCTCCAGACTTTAGACGGAGGTTTTGATCTATGTCTGTCGCTGTTTCTTATGAGTTTTTTAAACTTCTCACCTTTGTGTACAACTATTTTTGGTAAACAGCGCAAACCATAGGCATTATTGCTGCAGCGCTGAACATGCCTCCAGTTGCCCACCCTCCATCTGGAAAGCACGCAGATGTGTGACGTCATCTGCAAATAACCTATTGCTTTGCTGTCGGAAGTTAGATGAGAAGATCTATACTCATTTCTGTGATCAACAGAAGTGTTCGTGTTTGTCCAGGAGCTCTGCACTAAACTGCTCAACGTCTACACTTTTCAGACCCCAGTGTTTGGTGCTAACAGGTCCTCCCAGCAGTCGTCCAGCTCTGGTGGATCTTGTCACCTGTTTCACAAAGGATCTTAGTCTCATGATTTGTGGCAATGTAGTCACCGTGAGTCCAACTAAACATGCACAGATATACACACCAGACAGTGAAGTTTACATTTTTGATTAACTAAAGCACTACTAAAATTACAACTTCTACAGTTGATGACTGAAATTATTACTTGTTTGACCCTGTATTTGTCAGGCTGGTTCCTCCCAATCAGCAGTGGAAAAGGCGAGCAGCGACAGTCATGTTACCTGGTTGAACCAACGGAGGGTCAAGTCATTCTACAGAGGTGTGGTGGCTACAGAGCTTCGATCAGGAGTCAACATGCTGCTACAGGTCAGATTTACAAGGTTACGAGGTTTGTTTATTGCTATCATACAACACAGGGTTGTGGAACGAAATGCAGTCTGTTGTCACATATCCTACATAAGAAAAAAGAGCAATAACAACATTATATAGTGGATGGTGGAAGATGAATTAGAAAGACGGCAGCATGAACAGGCTGTGGCTGTGTGGGTATCGTCTTTTCATTTTCTTTGGGCTCTTCGCACACATTTCAACTCACTTCAATGATGTTCTGGGCAGATTTAATGCCCCGCTGTAGAGCCCTCCTGTCCTGGGCCGGGCACAACTCATGCCAGTGTTAAGGTCAATTTATATATTTGAGTTAATGGTGAGTTAAGATTGCAAAGTTAATTGTTAACATATTACAGGTGTAAATACAATCATCACTGACTAAAAAGTTACAATAATCTGCTGAATCTATCTCTGTGGATGTCCTCCCAGCTTCTGATTGGTTAGCTCAGTCATATGTGAGTTGGGAACAAGGACATGTTCCTGTTGTTAAGCTGATCTGGGGCCTATACTACAAAAAGGTTTAGAATAGACAAAAAGTTGCATTCACATTAAAGTGACAACTAGAACAGACAATGCAGCATTGTTACACAGTAGAGGTGTACAGTCTCATCAGTGTGCTTCTATGGTCAACACATAACCTCTGTTGCAGATAGTTTGAAGTAGTGAATGTTAAGATTTGACTTTTCTGAAAATAAATCGTTTTCTAGAATAGATTATATTCCATATACATAATAAGTACAGTGCGTGATGACAGGTAGTGGTCAGCTTTTTACCCACAATAGAAAGAATGTCTGCACACTGCCAATAAGCTCTTTTAGTCACATACTGCTTCATCATACCTCGCTGATCTTTCCACTATCTGCATTACTACATCAACAGATATGACAGTTAAAAGTTTAATCTTAGATTATTACTCATTAAAGTAGAGTGAAATAAAATGAAGAAAAAACAATTCTATGGCAGCAACTGTCCCATACCAGCTACTTAACATGTGGCCATGGCTTTCCTCGTGTGCACACATTTGCAGTTAGATTAAAGCCAGATTGAATAGTGCCAGTTGGTAACCAGCCGAGTGAGATCAGTTATCCAGGATTGTCGATGTTAGGTTCTGTGACGATGTCTCAAAGAGAGCCTGAGGTAGTTGAACTTTGTGAGACGGGCTCATCTCTTCTTCTTGTCCTGTTGTTAACTGTCCACCAGGGGGCAGGTTTGGGTCGTATTAAGCCAAATGTTTTACTGATGGGATTCAAGAAAGGCTGCTGCAGTGAAACACCTCAGGCTGCACACAACTACATCGGAATACTACAGTGAGTACAGTGGGAAATAATAAACCTCATCCTGTGTGTCTGTGTACTTTCGAACCATTCTATAAGCACTGACAATAATATTTTGCAATAAAGCTGTCCATGTATTTCAGTGATGCATTCGACCTGCAGTACGGCGTGTGCATACTGAGACTGAAGGAGGCACTGGATGTCTCTCGTTCATTTCAATCAGATGGTGAGAGCCTGATTTGAAATGAGAGTGGAGCACACAGAGCTGCTGCAGCTAGAATGATGTTAACAACGTGCACATTCATGCATCATCATTTGAGTTACTGACTACAAATGAATCCATATACATTGCAAATCCCTATGTTTTTATTTCAGTTAATCCAGGTTTAGATGGACGAGAGGAGAGTATAAACACCGTTTCTGCCCCTTCCCGCCTACAAACAACAAATACATGTACGTATATGCATGGACGTATTGTGGCTCACTGGTAGAGCAAGGCTGTCTTTCAATCAGAGGATCAGAGGTTTGATACCCGGCTCCACTAGTACTACATGTCAATGTGTCCTTGGGCAAAACACTTAACTGCAAATTGCTCTCACAGGCTGTGAGTGGGTGTGAATGTTAGTTAGAGTCCTGATTGGCAGGTGGCACCTTGCATGGTAGCCCTGTCATCAGTGTATGAATGGGTGAATGATGACATGTAGTGTTAAAGCGCTTTGAGTGGTCAGAAGACTAGAAAAGCGCTACACAAGTCCATTTACCATCAGGATTCATATCCCTTACGTATTCTGGCAATTTGAAAACATCTTGAGTAAAGCTTGCCATTTACCAATGAACAAAAAATAATATTACAAACAAAAAACGACAATAATGCAGTTCACGAGATCATGAAAGCGTAGATTGCGTAGTTACTATTTAACATAGGAATATGTATGCCTCTGTTTTGTCAACCAAACCCATTGATTGGTTGCGGCGGGGGAATGTGCAACATATCTGTAACACATGTAAATGAATATAATGCTTGTGTGACTGAAAGTAGAACTACCAGATGTGAACCCTTTGCCAGGCTACTGAAGCAGAGAAGGAAAGAAGGATGGAAGTGAGCTTTATGAACTACTCAGCGAGACTGGAAGGAAGACGAGGAATGTGTGTGGCTTGTTTGTACAAAATGTGCTTTTGTGCTGTGCCTGTAAACGTAGCGGTGGGGAATGAGAGATTGCGGATTGGGTTTCACTTTTGTTTACATTTATATGCTTATTATAGGTGTATTGATAAAGTATTGGCTTTTTACTCGCAAATATTTTATTGCACATACAGTCACAAGCGAAGTTTGTCCTCAACTCCAGTATTGGAGTCTCCACTGCGGCTCCTTTGCGCACTTGTGTGTATGTGCGTGTGTGTGTGTGTGTGTGTGTCTGTGTGTGTGTAGATGGAGAGCTCAGTCCGACAGAGTGCAGCTTTTTCTAAGCTAACAAAAACATAAAGATTCTTAGTTTTAGGTGATTGTACACTGATTAAAACATAGTTATGAATATTATTAATCCCCCTAAATGTTACACACCTTGTCCTTTGAATACACAGAAATTCAATAAATTGATGTCATCTACATGTAAAAAGATAACATTTTTTTTGTGTATACAAAATTGTTTGTAGCTTCGGTCCCCGTTGAAGCAGAGCCTCAGCATAGTACGGTGTTCCAGAAAAAACAAGGAAAGAAAACCATCGATGTGTACTGGCTGTCTGATGATGGAGGTCTGATCATCTCTCATTCACCATCATCATAGATCATCCATCTATCACCTTCTTCTCTTCTCTGAAGAGTGTTATCACAGGTTTCCTTATCATGAGTGTGTGTGGTTTACCAGGTCTGACCCTGCTGCTGCCCTACCTGCTGACTCGGAGGAAGCGTTGGGCCAGATGTAAGGTCCGCGTGTTTGTGGGGGGAGATGCAGACAAAAGGGAAGAGCAGAGAGAGGAGTACGCACTTCAGATTACTGTTATTATTGTCTGTCAGATTTCTGTGGGTTATTTGCACCGTCGTCTGATTTCTTTAGCACATTTGCCAAAAACGCGTCAGAATAAATTGCATGAATGAAATGAAATGGAAGGAAATGCAGAATTGCATATAGGATGAATTATCTAGCCAGTTATCAAAGACTCATATTGCCGAGGATAGCAGGACGTAGAGAGAAAACAACATGTTTAACTAAAAACATGAATCATGGATACAGTCTGTTTAAAGCTGTAATAACAACTAAAATGGCTAACATGCTAGCAGACTATTATCTGTTTACCCATCCGGCAGCTTTTCCTGCTCAGAAGAATGATTAAAAGATTATTGCTGTGGTTTACAAGTATGTGACTCTGAAGGAAAATGTCAAACTTTACATTAGATTATATATTTACATTCTCTTTCCAGGGTGTTGGCACTGATCAAGAAGTTTCGTCTTGGTTTCCATGATGTTGAAGTGCTTCCTGACATCTACCAGAACCCCCAGCCTGCAAGGTACCCGAGTTACACTGCTGTCCGTCTGTACTGTGACTATGTTCTGTGATGGCTGGTGTGCACACCTCTCGTGCACACCATAGCTGGATGATGAGGAGGAGCTCCTGTGCCTGGAAGTTAATAAGGTTTTTGTAATTGATGTGAGGTACTGGTGCGTAAATCTCACCTCCCACCTCCAGTCCAGTCAAGCTTCTGCGTTATCTTCAGAGCCTGGCACTTCATCACATTTTTCAGGATGTGCGCGGCGCATTTCTGCGGCTCTCTGCCAAAGCTCTGTGCAAGCTATTATTAGAAAGAAGCAAAGCAGGGGAAATGATCTATCATCATGCAATTCCACATGTGATCCGGGTTGAGCTGGGTTTACCACCTGGGCCAGAATGGGGGTCAGTAGCTCATTTCTGCCCCACGGCCAGCAGGTTAATAGTGCCATGCATGCTTTCATGGAATAACAGACAAACCTCAACATTGAGGTTTGCAGATATACAAAAAACAGTCATCATAGTAAAAGAGTAATGAATTCATCCATACTTGATTTACTTTATTACGTATTGTATTACCCATGATCCCTGTTTGTCTTTTTATGCTTTAGTGTTCATCGGTTTGAGAACATGGTGGGTCGCTTCAGACTGGATACAAATCCCAAACAGGACTCTGATTCTGGGCCACCAGGACAGCAGGCGGAGCAGTGGATGATCACCGACCAGGATTTAGAGAGGAACAAGGCCAAGGTCTGACACACACACAGAAACACACACACTGATCAAACCTGAAGCACACACATTGTTATACAGTGAATATAGAATTTAGGAGTAAGAAATAATCAATTGGAAACCTTTTTTCTTGCTTGACTAAATTTGTAACTTTCTCTGTGTGATTCAGTCTCTCCGTCAAATTCGTCTAAATGAGGTTCTGCAGGATTACTCCAGAGAAGCTGCTCTGATTGTGATGTGAGTATAGTGATTCTCCTTGTTAGATCATATGTGTGTAAGTACGCGGAAGCTAATTGCATCATTCCACTCTCAGTGAATGGCTCTTGAACTGACTCTTGTGACTTTTAAAGCCTGTCGGCATACACAGACCAAATACAAGCACTACAAACTGTTCCCCTCATTAAACCTTCTTTGTCACTACTGTGTATGTCTCCTGACAGCACCATGCCAGTAGGGATGAGAGGAGTGTGTCCCAATACTCTCTACCTGGCGTGGTTGGACTTCTTGTCACATGATCTGAGACCTCCAGTCATGTTGGTCCGAGGAAACCAGGAAAATGTCCTCACCTTCTACTGCCAATGAGATGTCTCCTTGAGACCAATAATCAGATACTGACTCATTAACTCACCAACATGATATTTCATCTTGATTTAGACATGTCAATGCCTTGATGACTGTTGATCATCTAATCCTGTAATTAATGTATGATTCATGTGTCATGTAATTACAATGTTCTGGGCCTTTAATTCAACAAATGAATGATGAACACATTTAAGAAGTCCTGCAAATGTAAACCACTGTATGGAATATACTTTAAACTGAAGCCCTTATTGATTGTAATTGGTAATCAAAATGATTTGTAATGATGTACAATTATAAGCAATTATGAGAAAAATGTATGGCACAGGAGTGAGTTACTGTAGTTCAATTCACGTTTTATATCAAAAGACCCCATGCAGGGATAATACCAGATTACCCTATTGGCCAGACAGATGTTTCCTGGTAATACAAACATTTCTTTAGAGGCATTTAATGACGCAACCAGCCCAGCTCATAGATTATAAAGCCATGACACCTGATTATTTAAGACTCAGAACAGCTTTGCTATCAGAGCAGCCGGTTGTGTATATTCCTAAAAAGCAAAAGAGTTAACAATGTCGTCACGTATGCAGAAGAATTTGACTCTGCTGGAGTTGATGTATAAATCTTCCCCTAGCGTGAGGAGGGTCATTGTGAGTAATGCAAACGCCGACTTTATTATTGCTCTGTGTAAGATAGCCCTCAACGTGTTGAGAGGTAATATTCCTTTGACTGACAAACAGTACAATCTCTTAAAGAAGAATCGAAAGACTTTCAACCAGACAAGAAGATTTGTCTTACCTCTATTAGGGCCTTTTATAGTAGCCTTATCAATAGTAGGAGGTACATGGTAGTGATTCAGACACAGGAGATGAGCTCACAAACCGAGCAGAAAGCCAGAGAACACACAGAAGGACCCTCACAGTCCTAGACGCAGGAGGGAAAAGTTTAAGGAGACTAGGGGTAGTAATCACAGGCTTACTAACATGCAGTGTGGTAGCGCTCAGTATACTTCCTTGCGATAGTTCATAGAGCAGAGACCCACAACTAACCCAACACAAAGCCAAAGAGGTGGTGATGGATCTACTAAATTGTTCAAGAAGCCAACAAACAACTGCTGAGATGATGACAATGTAAATCAATCCAAGACAACGCACACGTAGAAAGCTGCAGAGAACAGTAAATGGTAAATGGACTGTACTTGTATAGTGCTTTTGTCTAACGACCACTCAAAGCGCTTTAACACTACATGTTCATTCACCCATTCACACACTGATGGCAGGGGCCACCATGCAAGGTATCGCCTGCCCATCAGGACTATCTAACATTCACAACCATTCATAACATGGGGTTGGAGTTAAGTGTCTTGCCAAGGACACATTAAACGAATTGCCCAGGGACATATTAAAGTGGACTAGCGGAGTCTGGGATCGAACAGTCGCCCTAAAACCCATTAGGAAGGCTAAGAACACGTAATGGGAAGGAAAACATGTTCTACCAATGGATGCATTTTTCAGTGAAACAAGTAACTAAAGAAGCGTGTGAAGCCTGTTTTGACTCCAAAAGAGTTCCACTAATAATGCCAGCTCCGGGTTTTGACATAGAAGAGTGTGAGGATGCAGGATACTGCTTTGCATATTCAATTCAATTAGATTTAATTTATTTTGTACAGCCCAAAATCACAAATTTGCCTCAGAGGGCTTTACAATCTGTACATATACAACATCCTCTGTCCCAGGACCCTCACATTGGAACAGGAAAAACTCCCCAAAAAACCCTTTAACAGGGAGGAAAGGAAGACACCTTAGGGAGAGCAACAGAGGAGGATCCCTCTATGAGCATTAATGGGACATGAATTCATACAGAAAGAGAGAGAGAAGAGTGGGTGTCAGCAGTGATACACATGGCAGCAGGATACAGGGGATGGAGTGAGGATAGGAGAATTTGTCCACCTGTAAAATGTCAACAGGTGGTTGCAGATGGTTCTTACAAAATAACATGCTTACAATGCCACTAGTCGATGTGTTCTGGTTAAGTGATGATGATGAACAAGTAAAAATAGTATTACCAGCAAATTGGAAAGGAATATGTACCCAAGTTATGATGACAGGAGAAATAACAGTATTAAGCCCTCCACCAGGTAGCAGATGACCCAGTTTATATCTCATGGACATATACTTGGTCATCTTGCATCACAGGTAAAAAGAGACACTTAAAATAAAACGTAGTTCATGTATTACATGTGATTTTCATTTTAAGCACAGCATATTCAATCAATTAAGCATGGTAACACATGTCTGTCCTGCTAAAAGTACCTCTCCTGCTTTAACAGAATTTGTTTAGTGTTTTCTTTGGCTTCATTGTAAGTGAAAAAAGCTGTATTTTCTGTATAATAT